ATTAAACAGATTTGGAAACCGGATTTCGGCGTACCGAAAATCATTGAAAACCGGTTCTACTAAAAGTACTTACTGCTTTAGATTTGTTCTTAAGCGTGTCTGATGAATACGTAATTGCATTGCAAGGAAAACTTCATGTAACATTTTCTAGGTAATTTAAGGCTAAAAATGAAAAACAATTCTGGACCCACAAGCGCTTGTTCCGGAATCGGTGAAATACAATGAACTCAAACTGCTTGGAAACTTGAATCCTTTGCACCATTTATCCCCGAAAAGCGACACAGGCATTGTTTAAATCCATGGCCATTTTCTCAACGCCCATTGCAAAATTTGATCTTGTTGCAAACCTTGAATACCCTGATTGATGCTAAACCCTGCATAGGTTGGTCAGGGTGGTAACGGTAAGCTACAATGACGAAAGAAGCTAAATTACACACAACTTGGACTCAACAGCATCCTCCATTGCGAAGCCCAGCGCCTTGGACCTCTTGTTGACGGCGCCATCTGCAGCTGAAGTTTGTGTGGAGCACCCACCCCACCCCCCTTGCCACAACCAACGCCTCCAACCCCTCACACACCACCCCCATGCCACCCCTCCCCAAAAACCACGTCGGATGTAATTGTATTTTAATAAACCAAGCCAGTTACCCTATGAATAGAGACAGGTGAGCAAAGAGGTACTACGTCAGTTCAAACACAGCACCACAGCGTATTCATCGTATTCATGTATCCAAGTCACTCGGAAACAGAAATGATGAAGAAGTCCACCTGCCAACGGAAATCAAAGTCCACGTCTGCCGAGAACTGCTGGATGCTAGACTGGAAAGAAGCATCAGGACAAACCACAAGGTCGTAGCATGGATCAGCTGCTTGTGGTCTGGCAGAGGGATGCAATGGGAGGAGTGTGACGTGGAAGGTGGACAAATTCAGATATGACAAATGATACCAAACGTCTGCCGGACATTGCTTTGTCTCAGCATCATCGTTTGGATGTACATGGCAGCATCAGACCCATAACTGCTTCGGAACCGCAGAACCAGGCGTGCCTCATCAAGCATACTTCTTGCTGGCGGTGTTACCTTCTTGCGCCTCACCAAACATGGCCGCAGCAGCGCAGAGAGATTCTTGTGAAACTGCCAGGCAGTTTTGCTCACGTCAGAGCAAACACAGAAATTCAGGACACTGCGCAACTTCGTCTTGTAGTTCGCAGCAGTGTCTGGCAACTGCGGGCTCTCGTCGTGCAGGATCACTTGGTGCTGCTGGCTCCACCAGTCTGTGAGAATTTTCATCACACCACTTTGCCTGCGTGGTGGATTCATGAGCACCTGCCAGACGCTAGTGGAAACTACTACTATAGGAACACTTGCCAACACATAGTGACATAGTCTATATTAATTATCAATTATGAATTATTGATTAGTAATGTTCAGGCAACAGGTAACTTTTAACTAACTGTATTGAGTTTTTTTATTATTATCTAACACTAACTTTTGCAACACTGGCAATCAAAAAAAATGTCATCCGGCCTCGGCCATAGCTGCCAAAGGAGGACTGAATTCTGCAGTTGGCAAACTTTCCGGCAATGTGATGCTGTTGGATTGTGTGAAATCAACATCTGGCAATAGGGCTAGCGCAGGGGGTGCATTTTCCTGCATGTAGGCCTGCAAGGTTCTCTCCTCTTCCTGAGCTGTTCTTCGTGCCATGGCCACAGAATCCAAGTTTTCTTGCGACAGTCTTGCAAGCTCTTCGGGCAATCCCAGCACCATTGAATCCAGAGGCGAAGTAGAAGCATCTGCCAGCATGCCTCTGCTAGCAGGAGCAGCAGCAGAGTCCTCTGCATCTTGTGCCATACGTAGCTGCAGCCTTCTCGCGGTTTCCTTTTGCTGACGTGTCTGCGCAAAGCCAGCAGGGCCGGACCCTTGCTTCTGAAAAGCTGCTGCTGTAGCGGTCTTTGCCAAGTCTTCCAGCCTCTCACGCTCTGAATCGCTGATTTCGCGAATTCTCCGAGACAAGTCGGCCATGCCATCACCCCACTTCTTATTTGTGCGGCCCTGTGTGTTTTCATGCATGAACGCTGCCCACGCACTTCGTGACCTCTTTGCTTTCCTTTTGGCTTCTGGCTCAGGTTCGGAAGCAGCCCCCTGGCTGGGCGCAGCATGTGCTTGCACGCCTGCCACATTCTGTCGAGCCAGCTTGTTTTGCTTGATCACAAAAGCTGCTGAAACACTCTCCAAGCTGCGAACCCATGTTTGCGCACTTGTCTTCTGGACCCGTCTGCTTGAAGCGTGTCTGCATTCTATACAACAAATGTCGTATTCGCGGCGAGCAGCAATACAATGTAGGATAGATTTGGCAGGGGCGCTGCCCAATTCAGCTGGTGTGCCAAAACGAGAAAGAAACTCATGGCTCAGTTCATCTCGCAGGCATGGGCTGCTGCGGAGTATCTTTTCTACCATCTCGGTCGAGTCGTTTGTTAACAACTTGAATAACTCCAACGGATATCCGGCACGTCGCGTGACAAGGAGTTGGTGCACACAAGCGCCAGCGCGTGCCAGAGAAGTGAACAAGAGTGCTCGGATCTCAAATGTATTGTGGGGACGGAGCAGTGTGAAGCTTTGGCGCAGACTGCTCCAAAGACCTGTATAGAATCTTTTCACATCCTCACTGGCCAGAACTTCCAAGAGCTTGCAGACGTTCGAACGACCCTGAGAACGCAACCCACGTGCATAAACGTTCCTGCGCCAAACAACACTTGCTCTGTGGAACAGCTCTCTTCGAAGATTCTGTAGAAGGCCAGCTACAATGCTGAAAACAAAGATAGCGCCCAAGCAAAGATCCTGAACGAAATTTACAGACCTGCGTCGGTACTGCTTGTTTCGTTTATGCCAATCGTCTTGCTCACTTCCCTCCTTGTCCATCTCCTCGTCCACTGCCTCTGCTGCATGGGCAGCTTGCACGTTGCCTTGCTCAATGGCATGCTGAGACCCTTGCTGGCTAAGCTCTGCTCCAATGGCACGGATCCAGTGATCTTCCTCCCGCCCTCCTGGGCCTTGTAGCAAAGGAAGCCCCGCAAACTTCTGGATTGTGTGCTTGAGAAGAGAACCATTGTAATGAGCAGAGAACAAGCCCAACCAGGCCAGGGCGCCGTCTGCTCCATTCCACCGGCTTCGTGAGAACAAGGGGCAGGTCGTTGGCACCAGTGCAGCCAATACAAAGGCTTCAATGTCTTGCAACATGCGTGCCCTCACCGGCTCATCAATGATGTGGACATTTGGGTTGTAAATCATGACATCTGATGACACGGGGTCGCCATTGAGGAACCTAGCGAGGACTGCGCGCTGAGCATGGTGTTGGTTATGCTGTCTACCTGGAAGGCACGCTGGATTTAAGGCCATGGAAAAAACCAAGGAAACCATAAGAACGACAGTAACAGGCTGTGAGGATAAATTGTCAGTCTATACCCAAAAACCATTTTGCAACAAGGCTCGAGCATCTGGCTGTCCAGCCTCAGGAAAGAGGGGCAAACACTGGTCGTAGACACTGTTGCGAAACTCGACCACGTGCCCTCCAGGAGGCCGTCCTGCGATGAAAATGCATTTCTTTTTGAAGACTTCCAACAGGCACTTCTGCAACCTCGACTTGGCACATGCCCCAGTCATGGTCAGGGCACAAGCCACAAGACCCTGGACAGTGGCATCCAGCTTGCCCAACTGGGCAGTCTTCGTGTGAGCTGTTGCCACCATATGCATCTCGCACGCAGTGTGATCACGAGCATAAGGGAGCCCTTCGTCGCGCGCCGAAGCTTGCATTGCAGCTTCCGCTGCGAAATTGGCAGCATATCTATCAGTACAAACGCATCTGACTCGAAAATCCAAGTGGCGGGAAGCTCTCTTCAGTTCTGGTGTGTTGCACCTGGCTTCGAGCACTTGGCGTGTGTTTGCTGCCGTGGTTTGGTCAACAGCTGCAAGCATCCGTGGGAGGGTCCCTGTTAAACAACAGACAGCCTTTGTGTCCAGGCGCTGGAAGAGCATTGTTATGCCCAGCTCTATTTGAAACACCTTTGCCACGGAGGTCTCTTTGCCCAGTCGCATCTTGGATGGTGTCTCGTCGTACCGGGTGTTTACCAAAAAACATAGACCCTTCACCTGTCTTGTGTCTAACATCTCCGACACATTTGCCAGAAGTGTACCCCAACTCAGGTCTGCGCATAATTGCATGGCAGCAGCAGTTCGCTGCAAAGCCTGCGACGCCTGAAATCTCGAAACTCCAGTTGTATTTGCCAGAGCAGTAAAACTCATGTGGACAAACTCTTCCTTGTGCAGAAGGTGCTGGAACAAAGCACTGCATGGTTCTCTCTTGTCAGTGCCAAGCGGTGCCCGCTCCTTAAGCACAGAACAAATAAACTGATGTGCCCTTGTGCCCAGTCTTGGCACTAAACGGAAGGCAGAAACACGCTCAGCCACCACGATGTCTGCCCCAATGCTGCAATCATTGTTCAAAGCTTGCCTTTGCCGCTTCTGCCTTGCGCGAGCCAGATTCTCTTGCTTTGAGAAAGGTTCTTGAGGCACGTCTGTCTCGCGAAGCACCGTCCTCAGGCAATGGCTGCCCCTGGGTTTCCTGGAAACTTGCACGCCAGCAGGAACGGGTTTGGCTGCTGCCTTGTGCAATGGACGAAAGTCTTCAGGATCTTTGAGCCATATGGATAAGTGGGCTAGGCTAGGCTAGGCCGCTAGGCAAGAAGCAGCATCACTGACTTCTTTCACCGAATCTAGGATTGTGAAGTCCCAAGTTCATCGCCCACAATAAGGTCTTGACAAACAGGATCTCTTAGCATAATTATTCGTCCCCTAAGAATGAGTGACTCTCAAACAACTTTGCTCCTGGGTTTTGAAATATCATTATCAGTCAACGGCAACTTTTGAATATCGATGACGAAAGCCTTCAGGAGCAGTATCTAACTCCATGCGCTGACAGCCAGGCGGGCGGGCAAGAGGCAGCATCATTAAACTCTTCCACTCAATCTAAGGTGGTATGATTCACCAGGTTTCTGAGGCTTTCTATTTGGATATGCAATCTTATTAGTAAATGACAACGTTGGAACATGGAGGTTAGCATGAGAAGGACAATTAAACTCCATACATTAAGACATGTCGAGATCTAGGCTCCTGCTGCTGTGGTCTGTTTTCTTGGGTTTTGCCCTCTAATGTACCACCATGCGCCCGAACATTACTGTACATGATTCTGCAGAACTACAACCCGTTTGAACCTCATCACCATGCCTATCTCAACTGTTTCAAAGTGTCCCACGCTGCTGGGGGGGTAACCTGCCCTAGGCCCTGGTAAGTATAAACAGTTACGGGGCGGTGGCAATAGGGAATGTTGCCAAACTCTAAGCTCTACTACAGTTACTACAGCTTCCCTGTCAATCTTTTGGCATAGGCCAGCCATAGAGCTGCCACAAACCCTGAACCAGACCCTAAACCGGAAACCTAGCCCGGGGCTGGAACTGGGAGGTTTTGATTTGGAGGCCCGAACCTGTCTGGCAAACTTTCTCGGGACGCCTCTACATGTTGTCTCATATGAAGCCTCCAAAACCAGAAAGACTTAAATGAGTTGACTGACCACCATCCCATCGGAAACAAAGCTGTCGCTGTAGACACTAGCCGCTAGTCACTAGTCCACACTAGTCTAGTCACAAGTCACTAGTCATAATCACCAGTCCCACAGGAGACTGTCTCACAAGACATCCTCTGACACATGTACCCGTTCAGCCTGAATGGCAGTCAACAAGTTGAAGCAGCCAGGACAGGCGCCTGCCAAACGAATGAAGTAATGAACTATAGGCCGCTAGGCGAAAAAGAGAGATTGTTATCAACCAACATTTCCAAGCTGTCTGGGCCAAAGAGCTGGCAGCCAAAACATGACTCAAATTCCACAGCTCACACTACTCACATGCTAGAGCTAGAGGCAGCTCACATTTCCCCTTCAACAGATGCCCCGAAGTCCTACAAGTAGAATGCAGGAAGGCACGCCATTCAACCTAGTAGCAAAGGCTTTGGACCTGAGCCGCTGACCACGTAATCAGTCCAGTCCCAAAGCAGGAGATCGCCTGGGAGCAGGAGATGGTAGTTGCCCACTTGTTTGATTTTAAGGGCTAGCGGCAAGGGCCAGGGCCTTGGGCCAGGCAGCGTGTGTAGTACCAGGGCTACGACTAGATAGGGGCCCTCACCCAACGCAAGTGCTGCAGACTCAGCACTTGGAATCTGCCAACAAATTTCAGGGTTGACACTTGGGGGTACGATTACTAGGACTAGGACATGCTCATGGCCCTGGGAGCAAAGCATAATTTCGCTTCTCCTGAAGCCTGCATCCCACAACCGCTCCTGTACTAAATTGAATGTAAGGAACGCCGAGGAGGAGAACTAGATTAACTAGATCACAGCTCAGATCACAGAATAGCTGCGTTTATCCAAATAATTTTGCCCCACTCCAGAGCCCAGATTGCAAGAAAGCCGATCACGACAACAGATGAGCAGAAGCAAACGCGAGCTAAACAGCAAGCGAGCTAAACAGCAAAAGCTGGAGCAGAAGAATAGCTTCAAGCTAGCAGCTTGCAGTTAGCACACACACACAAGCAGACCTGGGTGTTGAACATCATTAAGAACTTGGACAAACTGCATCACGGATGCCTAGGCCCAGGCCCTGGCGAGACGATTGCCACCACCTTCCTATGTCATGCCCTATGGCCCTACAGGCACTTCCTCAGTGCCGCGTTCTTATGGCCTGTGGCCAAACATGCACCTGCCTAACGTCATATCCTATGTCCTACGGTCCTACGGCACTTCCCCAGCGCCACGCCTACTGCCACCTACCTACCAGGCTACGGCTACGGGATCCTAGCTAGGTCTAGGTCAGGTGCTCTGCCAATTACTCAGTTCCATTTCCTAACTGCCTTGTCTACCATGCTGATCATACTCATACTCCTCAAACAGCTAGAGCACCTGCCTTCACTGTTACATGACCGCTGCGCCAATGGCTGCTGGAGCTGCGCCTGGGGGAACAGCCAGTGTGAGGTAGCAAGTATTGCGCTGGACAAAGTCAGAGGATTGACTGACTTATGAATGCATATGTGCACGATGAATGACAAAATCAAGTCTGGACTCTGACTCTAATTCTAGATTCTAGATTCTAGATAAACTCCCACAGATGAAAACTGCCATCGAGCAAAAGGTCATATGTGCAACTCAGTGAAGCACAACCTGATAAGAAGAATCTGTTACAAAGTCTTAGTCTTAGGCTTAGGTCTATGGGTCTATAGTATAGAATCAAGTTGAGAAATTGAAGTGGACACCAGCCTCAGCAATCCTGGCCTTGTCTTCTTGGCGGCTGCCACTGGCTTTGCCTTAAATGACAGGGCGTCAAATCAAATCACATCATACCATGGTGATTGTAATAAGAACCACATGGCAGGGCTGCAGCACAACAAACTGCTTGCAAGATGCAAAGGCAGGATCTTTTTAGCAGTAGCTACGGCAGCTGTGGCAACTGCCCAAAAGAGGACCCGAAAGGCGTGGAGAAAGCCTCTATATCGGCCGTATATCACTATGTAAAACATAAAGTTGGAACCTCCATTTCCCTTGATTCTCCATCCTCTCAAGGACCTGTGCTTTGTGGCAATGGCGTGCCAGGGGCGAAGTCAAAGTGATTGGATTTCAGTGAACCATCTAGGACAATCTAGGACCTAGGATCCAATGCCCCTACCCCGCCCCCTTGTTGTGCACGATGCGCGAAAACAGCAGATCTGTGCTACTGCTACTGCTTGCGACTTCCCAAAAGAGGACCCCAAGAGGATTCAGAAAGAACCTATGTCGGCCCTATATCACTATGTAAACCGTAACGTTGCAACCTCCATTCCCTCATTTCTCCATCCTCCCAAGGACCTGTGCTTCGTGGCGCTTGCGTGTGGGGCGAAGTCAGAGGTATTGGATTTGAAAGTGTGAGTGTGAGCCAACCATGTAGGACAATCTAAATCTAGGACCTAGGATCCAATGCCCCTACCCCGCCCCCTTGTCGTGCACGATGCGCGAAAACAGCAGATCTGTGCTACTGCTGAGGACCCCAAGAGGATTCAGAAAGAACCTATATCGGCCCTATATCGCTATGTCAACCGTAACGTTGCAACCTCCATTCCCTCATTTCTCCATCCCCCCAAGGACCTGTGCCTCGTGGTGCTTGCGTGTGGGGCGAAGTCAGAGGTATTGGATTTGAAAGTGTGAATGTGAGCCAACCATGTAGGACAATCTAGGACCTAGGATCCAATGCCCCTACCCCGCCCCCTTGTCGCGCACGATGTGCGAAAACAGCAGATCTGTGCTACTGCTGAGGACCCCAAGACGATTCAGAAAGAACCTATATCGGCCCTATATCGCTATGTCAACCGTAACGTTGCAACCTCCATTCCCTCATTTCTCCATCCTCCCAAGGACCTGTGCCTTGTGGTGCTCTGCGTGTGGGGCGAAGTCAGAGGTATTGGATTTGAAAGTGTGAGTGTGAGCCAACCATGTAGGACAATCTAAATCTAGGACCTAGGATCCAATGTCCCTACCCCGCCCCCTTGTCGCGCATGTCGTTGACTACAGTGACCACAGTGACAGGAGATTAGCGTGCCACAGCAGCTAACGAACTAGCTAGCAGCTAGCTAAAGCCAGATCAAGATCGCAAGTCCCAACTCCAGGTCTTTATGCTAGAGTTGCTAGAGTCTAGTCTAGAATCTAGAGTGCATCCAATATATCATGTCTGTACTATACTAGTGTCCACACTATACTACTCTATATATTGATATCATATGTGTATCCTAGTCACTTGTCTTAAAGTCCTAACACTTAAAGACAAACAGGAGTTGGATCCAAATCTTCACTTGGCTACATGCAGCTGCCCAAGCTAGGACCGCCTGGGCCTCCGACTTGACTAGAACGTTTGCGCTGCTACTTGCAACTGCTACTTTCTCCCATGGCCCAGCATCCTACTTGCTGTCAGGCGGTGGCAGCCTTGGTAGGGGATTGTCATACCCTCCCGGCTGCGCATTGACCCA